CTATTGGGCATACAAATATGCAATATCGATATCGTCAAGATACATATTAGATAAATAGAAGTATCGCGTTACTTGTAATCGAGATTTAGTCATCAATTTTAAGCGGCGGGAGATCCCTTCTGGCCCAGGCCAGCTTTGTTGATAAGAACGATAGCTTTAATTGTTAATATTGTACATTATGTTTACATCGTTTAGTTTTACACGCCGATCGACAGCCTACCCTGTGTGCGCATCTTCCTCCAGTGAGGTAATACCCATATTTGGATATGCGTCTAGCGATAACGTGATGGTCAGTAAGGATGCGCAGCGACAAAATAGTACAAATTGTGTTTGGTGGGTGGGCTTGGGTTCTCGTGCATACGTATGGCTTATGTGAAAAAGACATAGTGTTATATACATGGTCTACTAAATTTCCTTTAGTGAGAGACGGATTGATCAACAAACATAGCCTACTTCAAATTCGACTTAATCAACATTCTTATGAATGCAGATATTAGCATAATTATTGATCTTATCGGTTCATTTTGTTATATGCTTTAGCACGAAGAAATATGAAACGGAAATAATCAGTTATTTCAGTTTTGTATGTTTTCTGTGATCTTCTGTAAATTTCATACTGTCAATGTATTTTGTCTTTATAATAAATCCTTCAGAGAATAACATTGTGAATATAGAAATGAGAAGAAAACTTATAATAATTGTTATAATAACTATTACAGACAATAAGTTGAAAAAGCCACCATTTTTTATTACATGTATCAATACCGCCAGATAAGGTGGCTTCCGGCGCTAAATAAAAATATAACATTTTATTAAAAGTAAAGATACGGAACGCTAAAATACTCAAAATAGTAATGGACGTATAAAAAGCAGAAATAAAAGAACAATATTTATGTACTATACTGATAAGCCAATACGAAGGTCAACGGTAATCAGCGACACGCTAACTTCCTTTAATAAATATCGCAGTTTTTACATTTTTTCTCATAAACCGGCGTATGTGACAAATCAAGTGCTATTTGGCTTTGTTTTAATCTCACTAGACTGATTTTCCCGATATCAAACCGCTCTTCTACGTGAAGTAAGCACATTAATGGCAAGGTTAGTAGTCCGTGCCTTCTTAATCGATATTTACTTAAATGAAGCGAACCATCAACACGTATATGTCTGGAATTACCACAACTCCACATGCCATAACGTGTGCCAATACAACTATGTAAACCATACTTGTCTGTTAAAACAAATATTAACAGCAGTTTTAATGCAATTTGCCATTGCTTTCTCGCTACATGACTATGGGGTGTTTTCGATTTGTATTAATTCGCCTAAAGCTTCGCGAATTAATGGACGTAACATAATTCAGTGAAAGGATGAACTAATTAAGCAATAACATTAGATGGGACCTACAGTGGAACCGCAGTAAACGTATTTTTGAAGATTTGCCATGTTATAACATAACTACCATAAACACTAAACACATTGAAGAACTATGAAGACGTAAGCCTATGTATTAATATGGTGTCACATTTGTGCCTGGTTATCGTTCTATATCATTTTATTTTGTAAATTGTCAAACATCAAAACCAAGTCTAAACGCTCATAATTTGCGGATACAAATAGGCAGAGGAAAAAATCAGAAATTTTACATTGAATATGCAACCTAATCGAATGTGGGAAAAGTATAAAACAGGGAGACGAGATTGTAATAAAGAATTAGCAATAAGAAAGGTGTGGAAGACTAATAATGAAAACATGCAACAAACACAGCATGGTATTGCCCAAATTTGGTAACTACTATTTTAAATAATTTCGATTCCATTTCTATTTAAATTTGTTTTTTCACTGTAAAATGTAAGAAAAAAACATTTTCTGAAATTCTATTCTATTCTATTCTATTCTATTCTATTCTATTCTATTCTATTCTATTCTATTCTATTCTATTCTATTCTATTCTATTCTATTCTATTCTATTCTATTCTATTCTTCAAATGTCGAGGTATGTAAATGTAGGAACGGTACAATTATCTAACTTTATACGGAAACTCTTATTCGACCTTTTGTATAAACGTGATTCCTCTAGGCTTTACTCGTCTGTGGAAACTCGGACTATTAAAACAAGATAATGCAGACACGTGCCAGTTCTCAAACCACATGCAGTTAAAAACTATTGCAAATAACTCTGACTTTATACCCTTTGAGACGATTCCGTGTGCCTCTGCCCCCTGGTAATCAGTAAAAATGGATGACATTTCTAGATGCATGTACAAAATATGACGACTTACAAGCAATATTAAGTAGCTGCAAGTCGTCGCGGCACGATGTATTAACATGACGCTTGTCCCCATGGCACATTATATAAATATACTAACGATTCCAAAATAGTGTTTTAAGATTTCGGGTTGATTATAAATGGCATTTGCGTTTAACAATAACGTAGGTCGAATACTGTAGAGTATTTTACTACGTTTTATCGATATGGTATTCTCAAGAATTATAACAGATCGACACAAAGTTACATTCAGTACTGTGGACAGTCTTCTGCTGGCTCACGGTAACGTCATAACATATGCAACAATTAGTTGAGTGTAACTTATCAAAAGGAAGGTTTCAAAATAATCTTTTTGAGAGGCAATTGCTTATTTCAGTAAAACCACACATTGAAGGATTCGTCGATTTAGCGAGGATAGCATTTTTTATTTCGTTCACGTTTAATTAGTCACGGTGACAGGGGATAACACTCGTTCAAACAGTATTTTTAATTAATACATTATCATTAGCGTGGTAAACATGTATATATCTTCATAAAACTGGAATACAGTTTGTTTGTAGAAGAGATTACTAATTTATGAAACATCCTGCGAGTATATAGGCAAGTAATTATTGTTCAAATATTCCGTAGTTGTTTTGAAGATAACGAGATTTATTGACGTGTCTTAATATATTATGCATGTATGCTTCCCTGCCTTGATTCAATCAAAATATTTGGCTTCTTTCGGGCTATATACTTTCAATTTTTCATTTAGGAACGATCCCCCTACTATTTTCTGTTGTACGAGTTTTCGTTCACAATCGGACATTTACATATTTACATAGTATAGTGCACCATTCGAGGTATTCACTACGGTGTCGCCATGTGATTTACTCATTCATTCTCTCTGAGTCTGCGCACATCGTTCAGCGTGAGTCTCTATACTCGTATCACATCTGGTTTATAATTAAGGTTTTAATGCGAAGCGTAGCCGTGGAACAAAGGGTGAATGATTAACCTATTGAATGTCATTTCCTTCAAATCATAACTAAACAACATTTTCCGACTCAGCGCCAAGACGATCAAGCCCATTTTCTCGAATGCTAGCAAAAAAGACATTTTTTTATTATGAAGTAGTTTTGCTGTAAATTCGACACATACTGATTCAGAACATATTGAACTCGTTCGTTGAATTAAAAGTTAAAAGATGTTTACATATGCTGTTAATGGAAGAGCGCCTATTTGTGTATGTCTAATGGACAATCTAGTTCGATTGTACGTTCTGTAATTTGCCGTCATTACCCCCAAACCATTGCCTACTTTGTCGTATATCAGGGGCATTATCAATCAGCGGGTCGGCACTACAAGTCTAACTATCAGGTAATTCAGAAAATTCAGTTGAAAGCCTTTACCGTTTTTTTTTTTCAGCAAATAGGTTTGTATTCATGATATCCATGATTAGAAAGTTGGCGATACTAACTTTGAGAAACCATTTTTTTTTCATTTCCGCTTGCTATCAATTTATCAGCATGATACCATCTTTTCAAAATTAGTCACGTCACTAAGCAGTGAAATATTTCTCGCGGTTGGTATGAATCCCGCGTCATTTACATTAATTGCCGTAGTTAATAGAAACAAAAGAAAACTGCGCATGTTATGCATAATATTAAGTAATTTATTGGCTATCCGACCATGGTAACCGAGCTGGTGGGTGAAAAGGAATACAATTCGATGTCGTTACATACAACTGATAGTATCTGGCGAACTTCTATATACTGGTGATTGGCGGTAAATATGGCTTCCCAGGAGAAGAATATCATAAATGGTGTTTCCCAATATTAAAAAAGAAGGGTAGTCTCATCTATATGGGTTCTTGTCCTTGTATTAGCTCAATACGCAATTATGCCAGGAACTTGTTTAAATTATAATTATCGTCTTTGTACAGCTTTTTCTCTGACATAAAACCTCGCGTTGGCGTATTCCCACATTCGTTCTCCTGTCGTTTTACCAATGCTAGTTCCAAACAAGCTTATAATTTGTCTATTCGCGTTACCGCACTGGTTTTATTCGAGAACCACCGTTTTACACAGAGCTAAAATCAAGTTAATCCTATTTTTTACGATAACAGATAGTAGTACATGGAACAGTGTATGTATTACAAAATAGTATTACACGTAATGTTACGTTTGTAGGCATACGACACATTTTTATAATGTAAACTATTCCCCGAAATGTGTCTGTGGAAGCTATTCGACGTTTACATCAATGACATTGTCTCGCCACCGATGGTTCAACAAACACGAACGTCTCATATGTAGTAGTTACCGTATTATATGTTTATCTTGAAAAAATGGACAGTTTTATCAAATAGTCAATAATAGGATTACCATCTTTACACCGCCCAGTGAGGCATATACGTAAACTAGACAAGTTATCACGTAGCGTTAAGTTTGCTATATATCTTAGAACACCTAACGGCATGGAATATTAAACACACATGCATACCGTGGACGAAACTACCGAGTTTAGATTCTACTGAGACTGAGTGGCAACACGTTCGTACCGTGACGATTATCGATGTTCTGGTCGATCAATGAAAGTGGCTGTTGATAGGTAACGTTTTCAAGCATTATATTTCCCAGTGTGTGGATACTCGTTCGCAATGCATCAACACGATACATCCACCAAGAGGTTAACAAAATTAAACTTAAGTTTGCTTAAAAACAGGAAGAAAATGCGTTCTTGTTCTTACCTGTCTTTCTTCGAATGCACTGTTGATACACTACAGCTACAGTAAAACCCGTATACCAAAGAAGAAACCCGCGATATCTGAACACTTCTCGTTGGCGGAGAGCTGTATGTGATGTGTTACCTGTGTCGTGATCGCGATGTGGACAAGTGATAAGCAGTTATTCTGGAATTAATACAAGACGAGAGTAACCGTAAAGGTAGAAATGATTGGAGTTACTTAGGACTCCCTAGGGGAACATCAAATATCTTTATGAAGTCAGCCAATCAGAGGTCGATACAGTATCTTGAAGAATACTCGATTATTTCCTTCATTGGATAGATCATATTGAAATCATGCCGCGAGATGACGACACCTTCCGCCCACTGTAATTGTGGGCGTGGCTGGACGCCAGCGTCACTCGTACAACAATACCATAATTAGTCTTGTATTTATTGTGTTTTGCTCAATTTAACGGTTCTGAAAACAGCCAGCGATTATTGTGCCTTCAAACCACACTTCGGGCGCTATTGCTGGGAAATCCAATTTAATTATTGTCGGTGTTGTTATGCCAACGCTTTCCAATATATTACGTATGTCATCTTTTGTGAACAATCTCGGTGGGCCAACTGCCTTGTGAGGGCCGCCTTATCCCTCCCGATTTAGCCGCAAAGTGAATTGCATTTGTAACCATGGCAACAAGCATGAGTGATTTCAAAACTAAATCATGCACTTGAAAAATAGGGGTAGCAAAAATCTGACTCTGCTAACCTCCCGTTTATTACAACGATCAATTATTCCCTTGCATAGCGTTAACTTACGATGTGCTCTATCTAACAGGTCCCATCGTGCCCTCGCGTCAAAAATGTTCTCCAAATGTTTGCTATGATTGGCATCTGCCAAGACGAACACGTTCAGTTTGAAAGATATTCGTTCAGACATTCTTAGAACATGCCGTTGCTTTGTGACAGATTTGTTCATTCCAATTTCTTCCAACGAGACATCGCCAAATAAAAATCGAGTTCTGTGAGAATAGGTAAATGATTTTGATCTGCATGTAGAAACGACATACGGCTTCCATCAGTTTTACTCAATAGCGTAAGGCAACATCTCGATCTTTACGTCGCCTAAGTTCTTGGTTTGAAATATCTCATGTAACGTGACATATGAGGATGTAAATATGCGTCGTTAGTTGTTCGGAATACTCGTTGACTGTCGTGTCACAAATTTGTCATATCACATTATATCACAGCATGACTTATTTTGTCATGATATGACACATCATGTCCTAATTTTTCACGACATGGCACGTCATATCCAAATTTATCACGACGTGACACATCATAACCTGAATTCTCACGACATAACACATCATATCCCAATTTCTCATGACATAACACGTCATATCCCAATCTATCATGACGTGACACATCATATTCAAATTTCTCACGACATGACACATCATATCCCGATTTCTCGCGACGTGACACATCATATCCCAATTTCTCACGACATGACGCATCATATCCCAATTTCTCACGACATGACACATCATATCCCAATTTCTCGCGACATGACAC